AGGCAAATCTCCACAGTTTCTAAATCAGCTCAGAGCTGGAACTGAATTTCTGGAGGCATCAAAACCGAGTGATCAAACCAAATTTCATAAGACCCAAGCGGAGATGTCAACATGCCAGTAATTGATGGATCAATGCCAGCAACCGAAACCCTCCTTATAATACTTGCAAGTGGTCCAGCGTGTTATAGACAACAACAAATGTCCCAGAACAGAAAAGAAAATATATTTGTATCCTATTTACACTTGAAAAGCAGATGACCTGCGAAAGAAGCCCAGCTCCCTTTGCAGTGTACAGGACTGCTCCACACGTCAGCTGCCCACAGGCATTTGGAGTCAGGGCAGCAGAGGTGTGAAGCATCACTGCCTCCTCTCCGAGACCTCTCAGCCACTCTTAGATCATTGCAAAACCTTTTGTGTGCCCAGAGACTTAGGCAGAGCTGATTTAAGAGTTTAGATGATTTAATTGCTGGTAATCGCTGACTTAAAGTGGGAACAAGCTCGTCACTCATGGACAAACTTTTTGGAGCCAGTAAATTGGTGCTGATGGTAGTTCATGCAGCTCCTAGAGCTGATTAACTCTAGAAGCTACTTCTCAGGCCCCCAACTTCACGTATTTTAGCTGGGATCCTGCCCTGAGCACCATCAATACCAGCTAGCCCTCATCAATATTCAGAAAGCATTGCAGTGTGGGGAGGGATTTTCAGTGCCTCTGCAGAAATCCTGAGGCTCAGACCGCAAGATTTTCACAGCCATCACCCAGAGTGGCCAAAGCCAGGTGTCATCACCTGAAGGTGACGGATACCTCTTACCTCCCCGCTGCTCCTGCATCTGCCTGTGGGACCATCCAAGTCCACACTCAGCTCTGCTCTCTGTGTTTAAACTGCTAATCTTTATCTCACCAAGCTCAGCAGGAAAAGGAAAGGAAGGGAAAACATCCCCACCATGCACGGGTATCCAGAGGACAAGAGGCACCTGAATGAATGGGGTCTCCCTCCTCATTTAGGCCATTCTCTAACAAGTAAAAACAACCCCAGAACACAGACAATTTGGCCACTTGTGAGATTAAATATTGTAATATACCCCAGGCACAAATCAGGTCCAGAAGCCAGGACAATGCTCTGAGAAACCCAAGGCATTTACTACTCTCCTGTTGCATCCCCGTGAAAAGCTCAGGCCATTTCTCTTGTGCCTCAGTTTCTCTCCCTGCCATTACTCCCCTTTTTCACGTTCATCCTTTACATCACTTCAGGCTGTGTGTTGCAGCAACCACACCCCTGGTCTTTTTTGGAGACCCCTCCTGCCAACTGGAACCCTGGTGAGGTATATATATTCTTACAATAATATCTTATAACACCACTATATATTACACCATTCTTCTTAAAATAATAGTCCGCTGTGCAAGGCATGCAGCACCGTGCCAAAATGCCATTTTTTGGGTTTCCCACAGTATTTTAACAACACGCTGAGTCATGCTGGTGCTTCAGCTCCAGCCAGTGGGCTTGCTTCACCACCAGCACTCTCAGTGCATGTTGTCTTCTCCTCGCTTGCTCAGTCTAGCTGTCACAGCCCTCCGAGCTCAGCATCCTTTTGTCCTGAAGTGCAGCTGAGTTTTAGCACGGGAAGCCATTCCTGGCAAAGGTTCGTGCTCGAGCTGTGCTGTGCCTTTTCTGCTTTTCCAAGTGAAACCTAATCTACAATCTTCTCTGCTACTTGAAGGATATGATTTGGTGGATGTGGTTTCCAACATATAGTTCAGCGCATGATTTAGGACCCGATCCAAAAGGCAGTAAAATCCCCAGAAAAACTCCCATGAATAACTTCAGCAAGCCTGTGGACCGAAAAGGGAAACCTCCCTGGGTGTTGCTCTCACCTCCCATCCACCGAGAGCAGCCACGCTCCCACCGAGGAGATTAGAGACACCAACATACCTGGCAGGAGCTATTTAAAACCTCTGCATAATAAGTGTTTTCGTGCATTTTCCAGCTCCAAACTTGTCTGTCGTAAAGACAAAACCCCAAATAGAAAGAGAAGCCGCCAGCTTGATGCTGGAGTCACCAGTCCATTGCAGGCACGAGGGAAGGTCAGATTATTTTGGGCCTGTTCCTGTCTGTGCAGTCACATACCAGCACGTGCATTCTTCAATTTGCAGATATCTGAGGTATGTGTGCAGAGACACCCTGGCAGTGGTGGTGTCTGGAACCCATTTTGGGGGCCCTTGGAGCACCAGATATCCTTCCGAACTGCCAGCTTCAGTGTGGATGGAAATGAAGTTGAGATCAGTGCCCAACCACATGCATTTTGCTTATCCCAACATAAAATAAAGAACGACTCTACCTGGACCTACGCTGACACAGGCAGAAATGGGATTCCACCATTAAAATATTCATCAGGTGTGGATGGGGTTTTGTCAGTGACACAGGGGTGGAAAGAAAAAAAAGTCACCTAAACCAGTTTTAGCCTGAGAATAGAGGAATTTTGAGGTTTCCTATCAGAGCCATCATTTACAGTACTCTGCTGCTGCAAGGTGGGAAGATCCTCCATACAGGTCACCAGCCCTCACTTTTTTTTCAGACTAATTTCTGTGCTGGCCCAACCTAGGCTCATCTTATACATCAAAATGGGATTTAGCTTTGGTAGATGTCTCCAAAAAGTACCTCCAGCCTTCTCTACAGTCAACAGAGACACAGCCCGTAGAGTCAGCGACATTCCTGAAATAACTCATCCCACTTTAAACTGATGTCTAAAATGGGTCAGATGAATCACACCTTAAAAATTGCTTATTTTTCTTTGCGGAATATAAACAGAGCCCAGGGTAGCCTGCTGAGCTGGACACATCTGCCCATGGGCACCTACACAGTGGTGATGCGAGTTGCACGCAGACTGTCACACAAGATTTACACAAAACCATTTCCTTCAGAAGAGCCATATTTTATTTTTTTTCCCCTGCTAGACTGCGAGGCACACCAATTAATGATGAGCATGTTGGAAGAGATATAATACTTTGTGCTTCAGAGCTTGCGTCAGTCTTTGACTTTTGGAAGCCGGGATGAGACTTAATCCAAGATGCAAATTATTTTGCTGTTTTTAATTCCAGTGCCTCACATCCTGTCAGAAGCCTGAAAACCTGGGTCAGATCCACACATTTTGTTCCTCTCATCCCAGGTAAATCAAAGTCCTTCATGTTGAAAGCCCTAGAGGATGGAAAAATCCCGACAATGCCCAGTGCTGTAGCTGGTTTGCACATGCGATGGGTCTGGTTCCTTCTGGTTTTCCACCTCTGCAGGACCACTCACCATGGATGACAGTATCCGAAACTTCACAGGTCTCCAAACACAAGACCTCACACTTCAGTGGCAGCACCAGGCCTAGCCTCTGTGTGAACGGTTCTCAGGTTTCCATTTAATCAACCTTTTCTGCATTCCTGGAAAAAAATATATTTCTGCTCCAAGAGGAATACTGCATTTATTTGCCAAATGCCCAGAGGTACAGCTCAGTGCTGAACCATTGCCCACAACATTTCAGTTTAACAAGTAGCCGGAGCAGCAAAGCAAAGAGAAGGAAGAAATCCAGCATTTAGCAATACTCAATTTGACTGCAGTAATCCTGCAATGTGGGACAATAAAAAAGTGAGGCATTTTGGAGAGCGGAGATCTACCAAGGGTGTTGTTAGAGTCAGGAACATGCCTCTTAAAAAGCTGTTTTCCAGCTCTGCTTGCTGCAGGGTCAGCCTGAGCAGCGATGATGTTTCCTGCATGGGATGATGTCCTAATGGCAGGAGCTACTCCTGTCCAGGACATGAAGGTAATAAAAATAGGTATTTGCTGATGTTGGTGGGAATGGTTTTAAACTAAAAAGGGTGAACACCAGGAGGCTTCTCTTCTTCTCTCCTGCACCAGCTGGGCTCAAGCACGGAGAGGTTGCTTGCTGCCCTCTCTTGGTTTCAAGTGGCTTTCATGTATCCCAGGGAAAATCTCAGCCTCCTACCTGTGCAAATCCTTGCAGAGAAAGTGCAACGAAGTGTTGACCCATAGACAGCAAGAGTTTCCAGTTTCTGAAATGGTACTTATTTTATTTTAAGTGAGCTATAAATTATCAAAGGTGAATTAATAATAAACTAATAACTTTGAGCTTTTTTTTGTTTGTTGATTGGTTTGTTTTGCTTGTGTTTTTTGTTGTTGTTTTTGTTTTTTGTTTTTAGTTATTTCAGGCTAAGTGAAATGCTTGAATTTGATGTGAAATGGGCATAAATACCACAGTGTGGGCAGAGCTTGAGCATTATCATCTTGGCTGAGTGTTATCACCTTTGCTGAAAGCTTTGATCTTTCCATCTTCGAAAACAAACAAACAACCAAACAGTAGATGATCATTCTTGTGAATGTGTCTGGTTACAATCAGCCAGCTGGTTAAACTCATTTTTTCTCCTTAGGAGACAAACCCTGATGGTCTGGCTCCAGTCCCCTTTTTGCCCATCTCTCGGTGGTGTGGTGTGTGTCAAAAACACAGCAAACAGAACAGAGCTGAGGAATTCTGCATTCACCAGAGGTCATCTGGGGACTCTTTGCCTTCTGCTTTATGGGCATCGTGTTTTATTTTCTGGCTTCAGACATCTGTACCAACAGCAATCTGGTACACTCGCAGACTTTTACCATCCCTGGGATAATAATAAGTTGTTCCAAATACAAGTGTATCTCTGAGGTTCGTTGATATTATCCACTACTCCTGACACAGAGAAATCATTATGGGATCAATCACATCCTTTTAAAGTGCCTTGCATGTCCTTTATGAGCTTTCTTCTCATGAAGACTGGCAACCCAAAATCCTGTTCAGGGCTTGTTCTGGTGAATGGGGAACAGAAGGGCAGAATTACTCAGAGGCACCCAAGGAAATGAGTTCCTAAAGCAGACTTGCTCTGGGGCACGCCGTCTTTGAAGTGGAATTTGTTGAGGACCAAAAGCAACTTGAATCCAATTAACTCCTAGTGTGAAATTGAGCTAAACCAAATGAAGGGGGTTTTGACTCCAAATGGGACCATCCAGGCTGCGATCTGATGTAGTTTAAATAATTCATCACTTCACGTACATGCCTGCCACGAATTTGCAGCAGGTTTCCTGAGCATCTCTGCAGTGATGGGCTCCACGTCACTGATCATAGCCAGGGGTGGTGGGGTCCAAGTCGTGGAGAAAGGAGGATGGTGGCACGAGATGAGAGGAAGAAGAGGAGGAAGGTTCAGCAGCTAGCTAAAAGACATGAAGAGGAGGTCATAGAGTCAAGAACTGAGCCAAGTCCACGTGAAGAGGTGGAAGAGGAGTGCCAAGGGCAGCAAAGATGCATCCAAGGAGATGAGAGAGACAGCTCAGCCAAGAAAGAGGCAATCGAAGCCTTGTGAGGCTCGTTTGAGAAGGCAGAGAGTCAGCCAAGATGCATCCTCCCAGGCTCCCCAGTTAGGACCAGCTTTGTGAGCTCCTCATGAAAGTACGAAACATCAAACACAATTACCCCTTGCCGGATCTCAGCTTTTAAGAACCAAAGGAAATGTCTGTTGTGCCCTACCCCAGACCACCAAGGAGTTTCATAACCCACATTTATTTAATAAGGTCCATTGTTGCTGCACATTCAGTTATCCCTAATGCAGGGGATGCTCACATATGACCAGGCAGAGGCTGGTGGGACCTCAGTGCACAGAAAACCCTCTGGAAACAGGACATTTTTACTGGGTTTGGGTTGGTGAAGGTGGTTTCTTTTTTTGGAGGGGGTGTTTGCATGCAGGATGAAGGCTGGATCTGATCCTACAGCGAGGTCTTACTCTCCCTCTCCTGTGCTTTACCAGTCCTGCCTCAACAGTGTCTTCCCATTGCCTTTCCTCTCCTTCCAGGTTTCCAAATGCCCCTGAAATACAATTACGGGCCCCTGGCAGCTCCTCTCCTGACTCCCCAAGGGTTCTTTTATCAGACAGTGCAGGGTGGCTGGGTTGCAATCAACCTGCAAGCTCAGGTGGCACTGGATCCCAAAAACACAAAGGACCCAAAAGCACAAAGGACAAGGATGGGACATTGCTGTGAGCATCAGTGGCTTCCCCGTGTCCCATGGTACGGCTGTGCCAGGGATTCCCTCACTACATAGGATCTCAGGTCTGGATCTATAGCACGTGCTGCCAGCTGTCACTGTCCCCAGAAGCAGTTGAGATGACGTGTCCAAGCAACACTGAATGCAAAGTAAAATAAAAAATAAATAAATAAATAAAACGTGCAGCAATCATTTACTACACATATTCATATTTTTAGTTCCAGTCTCCTGGGCTTGGCAGCACAGCAGCAGAGATATAGATAAAAACATGCTCTGCTTATCTTCATTTATGCCATAAATCGCCTCTTTAATTCCACGTGGGCACAAAGCAGCACGAGCTGCCTCGTGCTGGGATTCATCGCTCCAAGAGGGAATGGTAGGAGAGGAGAAAACCTCTTTGTGCAGAGCAGAGAGAGCCAAGCCAGCCATCCCTCTCCATCTCAGCCCAGCACCTTTACACGTGGAGCAGCGACTGATGGCTTCTTTCTCCAGTGGACTTGGTGAAAATACAGCAGCACTCAACAGGAGCACGTGGGCTTGTGCTAAGCAGTCTGTCTCGTTGTAAAGAAATTTATTTTCCTCCTAGACAAGCCGATTCTTCTAATAAACTTTGCCTTCGTATAGCCACGGAGTTTCCTTCCCAAAGTGCTTCAATCACCCCATCCCACCCCTTCCCTGGGCCAGGCAGAGCCACGGGCCCTGGCCCTGCCTTCTCCTTCCCAGGCAGCTCATTGCTAACGCCTGTGCCTCAGCACATCCTTTGTGGACCCTTTTAAAGTATATTCCAATATTTAGCGCTAATGTTTCACTTGCATATTAATGCCTCAAATTTTATTACCCTGCGATCATAAAACCCCAGCTGCCGATCACGGCCCCAGCCTTCTTTATTTTACCCTGCTGAATTCCTGGGCCCGAGGCCAGGGTTGCTGAGCGCAGCTCGTGGCTCCGTTGGCGTGTGGAGACAGCCCTCTACAGCTTGCTGCCTACATCCATGCACTCGCACGAAACGCTCAGCTCAGCTGCCAGCAAGCTGTTTTCCTCCTGCATCCGAAATCTCCAGGACGGGGAAGAGGATGGGGCGATCAGAGGTGTCCACAGCCAGACCATCCCTCCTGAACGTTTTTCTTTCACTACAGAATATAATTTTTCCTTTCTCTTCCCCTTTTGTCCCTCTTTCCAGGAGGGAGCGAGGACCCCCTCTCACAACACCTTAAGAGAAAGAGGGAAAGAAAAGGGAGTGATTCCAGTCCTAGACTACCCCAAGGTTTCTCCTAATTTTAGCTCAGTGTGCATTTGGTGGAGTTTCCCCTAAATCCTCCTCTTCCATTCTCCCTGCTCCACCCCATGGCCAGGGGGAGAAATCAGGCTCCAGGAGGAGAGAGGGACGAGGGGAGAGCCAGTTGTGTTCACTGCATTTCTTGGTTCAGTCCCCAGCAGCAACCACACCAGTGCTAAACCCATCATTTGGCGGCAGCTACAAGCAAGGAACAGACCCCCATTAAATTTCTAATTCCTAATGAACCCTTTATCTGGATCTATGCAAATGACTACACCTGCTAATCAGTTAATTACGCAATTCAATTGACTCTAAATTAGGTTGACCTGCGGCCAACAAGAAATAACAGATGAGGTGTTAGCTGTTGAGGGCAGCTAACAAGAAATAAGAGACAAGGTGCTCGTTGTCGAGCCGGAGCAAGGTCCAAGGGGCAGCACAAGCTGGTAGCAAGAGGGGCTCGTGGTGGGGGCTGTCCCTGAAAATGTGCAAACAATCATGGATGTAGGGGAAAGGAGAGGAGAAGACAGGACAGGACAGGACACCAAGACAGGGGGCTTTTACACATTAAAACTGAGCCCCTGAACAGGATCCACCATCCAGAAGTGAGATACTACAGACCATGAAGCACCCAGAGGATTTCTGCAATTTCACTGATTTTTATTTTTTTTTGTCACCAGGATATTGCAGGAGCATATCTTGATGTGGCAGCGTGCAGAAACTGGTAGGCTGCTGTTGATTGCTCACACCTGGGGTGGAGTGTGATGGAGTGGGTCTAAATCCAAGCTAGCAGCAGGCCGGTAGGCAAAAAGTCATTTGTTTTCTGGCTGTTGCATAATCATTGTTTAGAGTTTTTAAAAAAATAATAATAAAAATGATTGAACACAGAAGCTCCAGAGGGAGGGTGATATACTAAAGGCAGAAAGTTCTTCAAACCCAATTTCTTCTCTGTACCAACATCATTTCTGACACACCACGGCCTGTCTGCGAGTCTCCCCACGGCCTCTGAGCACAGGAAAGCCAAAAGATTGTGTTATTTATATCAGACTTTGAAAAAGATTGCTTTCCCTCCCCTACCGTCTCCTCAGCTGTCTCTGCAGCCCCAAGCAGATGCTCTGTTAGAGGAGAGGAGGCTCCGAGTCTGGAAGATGTGCTAGGCAGAAAGCCTGGCCGGGTCTTTTGTTCACATGAAAAAGTGAGGGGGAAAAGTGGAAGTGGTTTGGTTTTCATGGAATTTCTTGCTTCTGTATTTTATCAAAGAAATTGATTGTAAAAACTATGTGTGAGTTGATATACCTGTGACTTTTTTTTTTTTTTCCCTTTAGAGGGCTAGAAAGAAGACTAAAAATACAAGTTTAAACCCATTTCTTTTGATTTCAGCCAGCTCAGGAAAAAAAAAAAAAAAAAAAAAAAAAAGTCCAGCCTAAAAAAAAATCTCCATTGTATAGAAACAAACATTTTGAGGTACAGGCTTTTGTATGAATATAGAAGCCTTTCAGGTGTTGGAGGGCACCTTTTTTGGCTTCTTCATGAGCTTCCTTCCCATATTGGAACAAAAATACCAGGGGACTGATTTTTGGCCATTCCCACCCCAAGCTGGGTGTCCCCTGGGTCTCCAGGACCCCATATGAAGGCTGGGAGGGAATACATGGACATTGTCCCAAAAGGTTGACCCCAAAGGGAAGCAATGGAAAGCTTTAGGCTGAAGGGGGAAAAAAAGGGGTTGAACTTTCAGGGAAGTGAGGGCATTTCCTGGGGGATTGGATGGGGGGACAAGGAGATAATGGGCTTGAAGATAAGATTTGATAGGGTTGGTTCAAGGGCTCGTGGGACTCGTCACCGATGACCTCAATTCCTACAGAGAAGGAGAGGGGTCAAGTTATCTTAGTCCAACACACCAGGAACAGTAACAATTAATGTGGAGCTGATTAATAGCGAGGAGTCTGAGGCCAGGTAGGAAAGATTAATAGCTGAGTTCATTAAGATTATTTCCGCTAATGTTAATTAAAATGGCAGAAGCGGAACGAGAATTTCAGCTACTTCATTAGGTCAGGCTCTCTTAGGCCGACAAGATCTTGAATACGGGGCATAGCTCTTAATTGTTTAATATGTCTATGGGTGCCCGATAGGCTCTGTGGGGATTTACAAGGAATTAATTGCAAAAGCAGGACTCTGCGGCTTGACCCTTGTTGATTTGAATTCTGTCATCACGTTGTATTAATAATAAATAGAGATTAAACCCGTATCCTCCTGCCAAAGCATTCAGCAGCATGAAGAACAGATGAAACTTCTGAGTCCAAATAAATTCTAGAAGAAAGAATGGGTACAACGCCCACCCTAAAACACTTTTCCCCCAGAAAAATCCATGATTATACAGACTTTGTACCAGCTTGCTGTGCTCTCAGTTCAATTACCTACACGGAAATATAATTCTCAACTCAATCACCCTCATCAAGGGCGCTGGAAATTTTCTTTGTATAAAGCTTTATACCACAAAAAAAAAAAAAACAACAATACATTACAGCCCTACAGAGCACTTTACAGTTGGCTAATGTGTTCTCACTGAAGGTCGTTTTTAATGCACTCATATCGATTTGATAGGAATCTCGGTGTTGCCACCCCAATTAAGGAGGGTTATCCGAAAGGGTCATGGTGAGAGCAGGGAGAAATCATTTAAGTGGGGTAGAAAAATAGGAAATCAAGTCAGCTCAGCAGCCAGCATCGGGGAGGCGTCGTGCCACATGGGGACCTGACATTGCACGAAACAAGAAGATTTACGGGGAAAAGTTAGAGACAGAGAAGGAGACAAGGAAAGGGGGCTTGTTGGGACACTGCTAAATAGATATCCAGAATATTAGAGAGGTTTTTTGTTGAACCTTGGGTAAGGCTGAGAAATGCCTCCAGGAGGGTCCCATTCCTCATGAAATGTCACTAATGAAGGGGACAAGCTGTGGCAGGATCAAGGCAGTGCTGCAGGGCAACCAGTGAGTCTTCTTATAAAGCTGGAGTGGATGTACCACTGGGTATGGGGAAGGATTTCTTCACGGAAAGAGTGGGCAGGCATGGGAAAGGGGTGCCCAAACAATTGGGGAGTCCCCATCCCTGGGGGTATTTAAGAGATGTGTGGCACTTCAGGACATGTTTTAGTGTTGGACTTGGGCACGTTAGGTTGACGCTTGGACTTGATGACCTTAAGGGTCTTCTCCAACCTAAATGATTCCATGATTCTGGTATTTTATGGAGATCCGGTGTATTCCACCCATGTCCCATCTCCTGATGGCTCAATGTGTTGGTAGATCCGTACCCCAGTGACTGGGGACACAGCCTGGCACCCAACCCCAAACCTCATCCACCAGGCAGCTCCCGAGACTCAGCAAGGACAACACCAAAGTTGTCTTCTCCTCCCCACCCCACCTCACCTCACCCTCACCAACCCCAAACACCTCCACCAAAACCTCCAAGTCCATCAGGCTTCCCTCCCCAATTTGCACCGCACACTTGTCCTACAGACCAGGCTCCCTTCCCGTTGTTCCCTGCTGACCCCAAATGTGAGTTATGGGGTCATAAGCACAGATCTATATGGACTTGAAAGAGGACTCTGCGCCCATGGTTGCCTTGTACCCAGGACCTAAGGACTTGCTCCAGGAATTTCCCAGCTCTCACCTTCTCATGGTACAAAGATTAAGCTCCAGCAGAGAGCTGGGCACGACTCAGGAGTCACATCCCACACTGCTCATCCCACAACTCTTTGGGGAAGCCGGCCATAAAGTTTCTGTCCATTGCAACGCAGCTAGCTCTGGAATCTTCTCCTTCTCCAGCGCACACAAAGTGACTGTGGGGAGGCGGGAAATTAGGCTGAAATAAATAAATTAAAGCCAGCAGGAGGGGATCGGCATGCTGCTTGAATTAGTGTGGAGGGTAATTGTAAACAACTGGGGAAATGTGCCTTAAATTAATTTTTAGGACCTAATGGGATTTTGCTTGGACGATAGTCAAGAATGAAAAGCCTTCAATGGCAAAACAAGGCACTTTGCATAAATTAGCAGTTATGACATTAGTGGAGCTGGCTCTTTTTTGGCTGGCAACGGGGAGTGTTTGTGCGTATGTGCACGCCTGCATGGAGGACTTGGGATTTGGTTTATTTATTATCTAGAGCTTGCTTAAAGGAGTTATTGCAGGACGGGGAGAATCTTGACGCAGACGCCTAAAATCCAGGACTCCTGGGCTCTGCACAGCGGCCTCTGGCATGCCGTGGGGGGAGATAGAAGGACAAGCCCCCAGCCTCCTTTTGTAGATCACACCAGGGCAAAATCTCTCTGCTGTAGGGGTCAGGCTGCCTGGGACACGGTGGCTTCACTGGAAGAAGGGATGAGGCATTTGGGGAAGCAAAAAAGACAGCCACAGAGCCCAGGAGAGCAATGAATATTGTCTTTAGAATTGGTCTTCAACCACAAAAATAAAATAATAAAATAAAAAAAATAAGAAAATTAAAAATTAAAAATTAAAAAGAAAAAAAAGAAAAAAAAGAAAAAAGAAAAAAGAAAAAAGAAAAAAAATCATAAAAAACTCACCCTGAAAAATGCAGGGACAGATAAGAGCTCTTGTAAGCAGCAGCTGGGAGCCAAAATGGTTCATGGCCATTTCGGCTGTGGTGGCAGTGAGGGCTCGCACCCTGTATCATCTCCAGTCCCACTGCAGGTGATGCTGAACGGGGCTCTTCCTCATTTCAGTATTTGCACTTCTGTACTGCAAAAGCATTAAAGTGTTTTAAATGCTGATTGAAAAAGTAAACAAGGTTTTGCTTGGGAAACAACTTTTTTTCACTACTTTATTCTGTCATCTTCATAAATAAAACTTTTTTACTCTAGTTTTTATTTTGCTCCTCTGCAAAACAATGAGTTTGAAAGAGCTGCTATGCTGTCCGATGGACTAAAAGTTAAGGAAATCTACACCTTCTTTACCCAAACCCAGCATAAATGTCATCACCCACCAAGAAGGACTTCCAATGATCCATTACCTGTGAAAATGATTTACTTTAAAATAATATATAATAAAACAAAAAGTTTGGGGTTTGCTTCCACTTTCATACTCCCACAAAAACTGGAAAGAAGTCAACTCTCTTAGGGTTAGATGTCCCCTGCTTACAATAGCTCATTACAGTTTAATATTCTTGAAAACACCCTTAAGAGGCCTTTTAAGTAGAGCCACGG